ATTTTATTGATATTTATGTACATTTATCTTTTCATTTTAATTTATTATTATATATTTATAGAACCCAACCAGGTGAGAAAATTATATAGATACCCCAAAATAATAATAATAATAAAAAAGACGTGTGGCACTCGGGGACTGCCGCGGTAAAGCTATTGCATAGCATTTTGTATCAACTTGTGCAATTATAATTATTAATATAAGGACAACGTAAATATTCAGTACATCAAGATTGGAAGAAAAATGACGTCTAAATATTTTTTCGTATTTAGTAAACGAATAACTGGTTGGTAAATTAATCATGATATATATCTTTTTTTTTCGCCGGAGACTAAAATGATATTGCTTTTTTTCGTAACCGCAGATTCTGTGGATTTATTTCATTATTTTGAACAATATACGAAATTTAAGTGAATAAAATTAAATCTAATCTGAACCAGAATCATAAAAACTGTATTATTCGTGCTAAACGAATCTAATAAATATCTGTTATTTTTGTCTCCTGCGAAAAAAACAGACTATGGGAATCTATCGAATACCTACATAAACAAAATATCACCTATAAATAAAATATTACAAAGCGGAATAACTAATAAGAGTGGCAACGTCGCACTATACAAAGGAATTGCGTAGGTGGCACAAGTCGCGGGCTCGAACTCATTGGTTGGCGCGGCCAAAAAGCACGTTATCTCACCTGGCATCGTGCTACTCGTACTAAATTATTAGGCGCTGCGTTATCGCTTTATACTATACCTCTATGGCTCTATAGATACCTAATATAGATTGCTTATTTTATTATGTTTAGTTTTCCCCGGGTGGTCATGCAGCGATCACTCAAGAGTTCACGACGCCGAAGTATGAACTGGAACAGTCATCGCAGTTTATATCCGTACTAGCTGTTGCCAGCGGCTTCAAACGCGTGAACTCGAAAATTATCCCACAGGAACGAAATACCTGAATAAACGGTATCAAATGTGTTATTCCAGACTAGGTATAACCTATCTCTGATCTAAATATCATCCAGATCCCTTCAGCTGTTCTGGCGTGATTGAGTAACATACATCTATCCATCCAAACTTTCGCATTTATAATATTTAGACAATAATTGTAATTAGTTCTGCCTACCTATAAATTGTTTTCAAAAATACTTATCTGTGTTCTTACTTTTTTTATATACACACAATATCACTAGATGTAAACACATGTTTTTATCAAGACAAGTGACCCGTCAAGACTGTTTCCTTAGTACCGACGTACTTAGGCAGGTAGGTAGGCAGTTTACATTTTAGTGTCCACGACGCAGCGACAGTTTGTCAAATTTTGTTGTATAGTAGGTTATGGGTATTTAGGTAATAACAGTAGGTAGGTACCTATCCACCGAACCGCCAACGCCGCGCAAGTGATTCTCGTCCCACCTGTCCGCGCAGTAACTTTTTTTACGACCGCGCAAGACTGTCGCAACAAAAACGATTACTACTGAAAAACTAATATAGGTACCTACCTAACATTCAAATAAAAATATTCTCAAAAAGCTCAACGAATTCAGAATTTAATTTTGTTAAAAGAAAATAGGTCAAATAAAAAATAAAGGATGAAAATAAAGCATATGGGGATATAAAAATAAATCGTATTTATTTTTTGTTTCGAGTTTTACAAGAAAAGTATAATATTTACTGGAGACAATTATTTTATTATTATAATAGTACATGATATTCCCTTTAAAATGACACCAATATGAATAATATCTTATATCTATATCTACAAATAAATAAAATTGAAGTGTCTGTTTGTAATGTTAAAACAACAGCTTTTTATTAAATGCATATGAAAGTACTAGTAACAAAAACACAATTTTTAAAATTTTTATCTGTCTGTCGGTCTTTCTGTCTGTCTGTTTGTTCCAGCTAATCTCCGAAACAGCTGGATCTATTTTGACGGGACTTTCACTGGCAGATAGCTGATGATATAAGGAATAACTTGAACTACTTTTGTTTTAGAAAAAGAATTAGGGTTCCGCGCAAAAAAAATAAAACCCATGAAATCCATATTTCACGCGGGCGAGATCGCGGGGAAAAACTATTACTCAATATAGATAAATGTATACTTATTTTTATTTATTTATTATTTTAATAAATAAATAAAAATAAGTATTAATAATTTCTAGACACATCTCAACAGATATTTCGTTAATAAATTGCTATCAATACTGAAGCATTCTTTTATATTTAGCATCCATTTAACACAAAAAACTGATAAGAATACTTTTTAAACAACATATAATCAATAAAAGATAATCGCGTATAGTGAATTTCGAGGTAAATTATTATATGTAAACGTTTTTGAATCGTCGTAATGATACATATTTCCAAAAGAAAATATCTTCACAATTAATTTGATGTAAAATAACATTAGAATTAACGTATAAAAACGGAGAAATTATCAAATTTTTGATCGAGTTCCTAACCAGTACACAAACAAAAATGGCGAAATGTCATTTTCACATTTTTTCTATATAGTTATTTGTTACAGTGTACACGGATAAAATTCACTCTCATAGATGACAAATTTCAAACAACACAATCTCTAATTTTTTACTCTGCTATCTTCAGCGCCGTACACGAACGGTACGATGTCGTTGAGAGCCGTGGTTGCTCACATGGTTAGCGCTCGTTATAAGTATCACAGTACGGGAGCAACCCGGGTTCGATCCCCACTGGCACCAATGAAATTGTTGCGTGCTGATTTAGCTATCAGTTGGAAAGTCTGTTTTTCTGGGCCGTTTTGTTTTGTTACACTGACATCTCGCAAGTCACCTAGGGACCTAGGAAGTTGTCGGTTGCTTATTTTTTATTTTTCTTTAAAATTTTCGTCGGTGAAATAATATATTTATAAAAGTAAAAAAAAGTAAAGTTACAGCCTATATACGTCCCACTGCTGGGCACAGGCCTCCTCTAATTTCTGAGAGGGTTTCAAGGGAAGGAAATGTCCGCCACGCTGCCTCAATGCGTGTTGACGAACTTCACATGTCTTCGAAATATATGTTTTTTAATTTCTCAGACATGCAGACCCGAGTTCGATCCCCGCCAGCACCAATGGAATTGTTAATTGTAATTGTGCTGATTTATCACGTGCTCGGCGGTGAAGGAAAACATATTGAGGAAACCTGCACGTCTGAGAATATAATTATAATCGAATGTAAATCGATTTGACATAGGTAAGTACAGATAAAATTAGCGGAACATTAATAAAATTTTGAGATCGTTTTTTTTTCTGTGCTGTGTTTATTTTTGTCTGTGCTTATATCAATTTGATTTATATTCGATCTCTAAATTGTAGTTTGCGAGGGTAACGGGGATCTATCAGCTCCGGCAAAACACATTTCTGATAAAAGCTATCTAATTTTAAAATTTTGTCTGCCGTCCAAAACGCATCATCTCTTTCAATAATATCAATTTCTATGCCAAACAGAGTAGTATCGAAATCCAAAGTTCAAGCAGGGGTCAATGTAGCGCGTAATTTAGAGCGCAGGTTTAGCTATAGTCATACGAACGTCACAGGCCGCAGCTGACAGAGTCGAATAAAACTAGGATAAGCGCGCGTCACCGCGCATGCATGTGTGTGTAAGTGTCGTCCTCCCGCACCGCACCGGGGGAAACATTATTCAGTGAGATGCACGATAATTCATATAAACACGCGCGCGTAAAAAAATACGAAAAGGCCTTTGGAAGAAGGGGTTTTATGAAAAAACCTCTGCATAAATCAATTACAAATAAAATTTATAGAATTCTTCGATAATTGAGCTGTGTCGATACCGACTTTGTCTTGGAAATTTTACACTGCTTTTATTACTAATTTCGCCCAAAGTTGTGTTAAAATTGGCAATAAAAACGAATCTTTGATAGCTCGTAACTTTTTAATGACTTTTTATTTTACTATTCTGTTTCCGTACAGACAAAATTAATAATGAGACAAAACGATATCATGTTTAACTGTCACTTGTATGTACTGCTTATGTACACTGTCAAACAGCGGAGTAAAACCCCTCCGAAATTTCTATGGAAATAATGTCGACTAGTGTCACCTTAAGCAGGAGAATGAATTAAAAACTATGTATATTACGGGGATTCTGGATAATTTGTAATATGGAAGGGAGTCCTGATTGGTTTCCCTCCGTCTGGCAATATACGAATATTTGTATATCGATATATGGTAAATTTTCAAAGAAATGAGTTAAACACTATCTTTGAAATTGTTTAATGGACCAATATTCGCAGTCATAATGTATTAAAATTGCTTACAAGTGGTGGACGCTACAATAATGCGAAATGAAAGGACGTAGAATCAATATTGTGATATATATATATACATATATATATATATATATATATTAGAGATGGGCCGAATGTGATTTGAACCGAATCAGAACTTCGGCCGAACTTCGGTTCATTTTCGCACGCTTTCTCGAGAGCGACGCGTCGTGACTTGTTTACGAATTTACTTCAAATACCCCGCCCGCACACCGCAGGAAACATATACCTACGAAAAAAACGTAACAAACGTCTGCCAGATAAGGCAGATCTTTGGTGTTTTTGCACCATAACCTGACTCTGGTAAATTTTAAATATGACTAGATAGACAAGAAAAGTTGGTTTAATATGATTGTTGAAAACAAATACCCTTTAATTGTAATAAAAAATACTTGAGGTTAATGAATGTTGAATCAAAAACATTATTTTTTTATTTAATTTACGGACTCCTATCCAGATGTTTACTAGGAGAATACAAAGTTTATTTCATTTTTGTAATATGGCTAATTATTAATTAGGCAGGGATTTCTAAGATTAATAACTAATTAACTAACATTAAGGTTAAGAACTAAGATTAAGATTAATGATAAGATAGGAACTGATTTAATATAAGGTTTACATTTACAATGTTCCGAAATAAATAAATAAATAATTCACCATGAATGAGTAAAAATAATATCTTTTATTTTACAGTATCTAATGTTGTATGCTGGAACAAATGTTAGTTTGTCCCTGACGGATATAATGCAAAAAATGACGGAGCGCATAGACGACCTGAAGCAGAGAATTGCTGCTTGGGGAAAGCGGATTCGACGATATACCGAGAGGTCGACACAGTTTAACAAGAATCGTCTCTTCCAGAGTGATCAGAAGAGGCTCTTTAAATCGTTGGAGCGACCAATGGTAAGTGAAACGGGCCCAGCACCGAATCAGGCCGACACTGTAGCATTCTGGCGCGGCCTGTGGTCAGAGCCCATAAACCACAGCGAGGGCCTTTGCACGGAAGTTGTGGCGAGTCAGTGTGCTAGTATAACGCCCATGGACCCCGTCACCATAACGCCGGATGACGTAGCTGAGGCAGTCCGTAGGGCCCCGAACTGGAAAAGTCCGGGACTCGACGGGCTGCATTACTACTGGCTGAAGGGGTTTGTGGTGTGTCACACTGTGCTCGCCCGACAGTTCCAAGAGGCTCCCAACCAGAAGTCGCTCCCGAGCCTCTTCACTACTGGGATCACGCATTTGGTTCCTAAAGACCAGGTCACCACAGACCCGAGCAAATACCGCCCCATCACGTGTCTGTCGACCATATACAAGACACTAACATCCATTTTGAGCGCGAGAATCACTCGTCACCTGGACTCAAATCAGGTGATGTCGCGCGCTCAAAATGGATGTCGGGGCGGCGGTTGTGGAACCAAGGAACCACTCCTCATTGACGCGGTCATTGGCAAAGTGGTGAAACGCAACCGTCGGAGCTTCTCCGCCGCCTGGATAGACTACAGAAAGGTATTTGACTCGGTGACCCATACATGGCTAAAGAGGGTCCTCGAACTGTACAAGATTGACTGTACAGTTCGAGACTTACTCGAGCAGTGTATGGGGCAGTGGAGTACGATCCTCTGTCATCTAGGCGAGCGGATGACGGCTGCGGAAAGCCGCATAAGGATAAGAAGGGGTATATTCCAGGGCGACTGTCTGAGTCCAATCTGGTTCTGCCTCTCTTTGAACCCTCTCAGTACTTTACTGGAGGATTCCGGGAGGGGATTTCAGCTTCGGAAAGGAGGTACAAAAGTGACCCACCTTTTCTATATGGATGACCTCAAATTATTCGCCTCCAGTCGCTCCCATCTTATGGAATTGCTAAACATCACTTGTGAATTTAGCAATTCTATTGGAATGGAGCTGGGGACGGATAAGTGTGCGGTCCTCCATGTTGAAAGGGGAAGGGTTGCTAACTCTGAGGGCATAGACTTATCTATGCCCGTCAACTTAAGGACCCTTTCCGAGGCTGAAACATACCGATACCTGGGTATGTCACAGAACATCGGTATTGATGAGGCTGTTATGAAACAGTCAGTTTGCGACACGTTTTATGCACGCTTGACCAAAGTGCTTAACAGCCTTTTGTCCAGTGTGAATAAGGCACACGCATATAATGGCTGGGTCATGCCTGTCCTCATGTATACCTTTGGCATACTCAGGTGGACTCAGACCGAACTTAACGCCCTGGATAGAAAATTCCGCACTACCATGATGTCCCATAAGATGCATCATCCGAGATTGTCGGTTATGAGGCTGTACTTGGCGCGAAAGCTTGGTGGTCGTGGCTTCCCGACCGCGCTCTCCATACATAATCGCGAAGTGTGCAGCCTCCGTAATTACTTGCTGGTAAGATCGGATGATCAATTCTATAATGACGTCATTTCTAGTGATAAAGGACTTACCCCTCTATCCTTAGCCAACGAGCGATGGCAAGACCCGGCAGTACAAAGCATTTCCGACCGGGAGACCATATGGAAGGAGAGCCGGGCGGGTGAGCCTCACGTAGATACAGCCGCCTCCCTCAACTGGCTACGTTTCGGTAACCTCTTCGGGGAAACCGAGGGTTTTGTCTGTGCAATACAGGATCAGGTTATTAAGACCAACAACTATCGGAGATACATCCTAAAGGATGGCACTGTCGACTTCTGTCGAACTTGTCGCCATTCCGGGGAGTCACTTAGGCATGTCATCTCCGGTTGTTCGGCGCTTTCTAACTATGAGTTCTTGCACAGGCACAACCTAGTAGCCAGAATTCTACACCAGGAGCTTGCTCTGAAATACGGTTTCGTGGACCAAAAATTGCCGTATTACAAGTACTTGCCGGAAGCCGTGCTCGAAAATGACCGCGCCAGGCTCTACTGGGACCGGGTCATCATCACAGACAGGACTGTTCTTGCGAATAAGCCTGATATTGTGCTGATGGACCGGGCACAGTCAAATTAATTAGATCACATATTATGTTTATATACTATGTTACCACTTATTACTTATACCAAGGTACAAACAAGATAATAGTCATCGAAGGTGTCTTGAACAAGCAGAGCGTCAAGCTACTTTAAGAGCTACTGAAACACCTGCTCAAAGTCAGCAAAGGCGTCTTGAACAGGCAGAGCGTCAGTTTACTTTAAGAGCTACTAAAACACCTGCTCAAACTCAGTAAAGGTTATTCGAACAAGCGGAACGTCAGGCCGACTTAAGAGCCGCGGAAACACCTAATGAAACTCAACACAGACTCATTGAGCAAGCTGAACGTCAATGTACTTACTATAAGGGCATCTGAAACACCAGAACAGACACAGGCGCGAAGAGATGCAAATGCACATCTCCAAGCTGAACATCGACAAAATTTTCAAATAAACAATTGGTCGGTTTTTAATGACGCAACATTCAATTATGATCCGTTGATTGATTATAAAAATCACAGGTTAGTAGTTATCTGACTGATGGACAAGGCGTGTCGATTTTGCAGCGCTTTAAAATGGAAAGATGAGACCGCAGGCATGTGCTGTTCCAATGGCAAAGTGTCTATTCCGTTACTTGGGGAACGAGAAGAACCTTTAAAAACTCTCTTTTTATATGATTCTAATGAGTCACGGCGATATGTTAATCAGGATCCGGAAATATAACTCATCCTTTCAAATGACGTCCTTCGGAGTTGACCGGGAAATAATAATGCCGGGATTTTCGTCTATATCTACGATGCAAGGGCTAATTTATCATAGAATAGGTTCACTTTTTCCAGCTGAAAACGAACAGCATAAATTTTTGTAAGTATATTTTATGGGTGACGAAGAAAATGAGGTAGACCGTCGCTGCCAATTTATCCAGGGAGTTGAAAGAGACACAGTGTTCAAAATTCAATAATTCTTGCATGAACGTAACAATTTAGTCAAAACATTTAAAACTGATTTAGAATACCCACCTGAAGAGGATTATAAATCGTCATTCACGCAGATCGGACCCCTCGAGGAGAGCATGAAAGGCGCTACAATGCATCTTTGATAAACGAAATAGCAGCTTTAATTAGTGGTGATCAATTTTCTTCACGAGACATTGTCTTGCGAGCACGTGATGATACGTTGCAACGGGTAGCCGATACATACAAGTTTTATGACGCTCTGCAATACTCATTAATTTATTGCAAAGGACAGGAGGGTTATCATTTTCAAACTCCACTCATTAACCCGGTCACAAAGGAGCCTACTGCGAACAAAAAAGTATCATGTATGGATTTTTATGCGTATCATATGATGTTGCGGGAAAATGATTTTAACCTCTTATACCGGAGAAGACAATTATTATATCAATATTTGGTAGATGTGTATGTGAAGGTAGAAAGTGAACGTCTCCATTAAACATCTTTAAATCAAAAAAAGCTGCGCGTTGAGAATTATATACATTTACAAGATGCAGTTTCTAGCGACGCCAATGTAAGCCCCAGAGATTTAGGTAAAATGGTAATTCTGCCCTCATCATTCGTTAACAGTCCCCGCTACCTACATGAGTACACACAAGACGCATTCGCCTATGTACGAACTTACGGAAGACCTGATCTTTTTGTTACTTTTACTTGCAATCCCACATGGAAAGAAATAACCGAGGAACTAATTCCGGGCCAAAAAACCACTGACAGACACGATTTAGTTGCTTTAGATTAAAAGTACAAAAATTATTGTATGTAATTAACAAAGGGAAAATTTTCGGAGAGGTGCTTCATGTATTCAATTGAATGGCAAAAAAGAGGATTACCGCATGTGGCCAACATTCTAATATGGCTTAAAGAGAAGTTGCGGCCCAGCCAAATAGACGACATAATAAGCGCCGAGATTCCGGATCCTGAGAAAGATAAAGAATTGTATGATAAAAGTAAAAAAGTAAGTAAAGTTACAGCCTATATACGTCCCACTGCTGAGCACAGGCCTCCCCTCATTTATGAGAGGGTTATAGAGCGGGGAATTATCCGCCGCGCTGCCCCAATGCGTGTCGGTGAACTGCACATATCTTAGAAATATTTTTTATCTTATTCCTCAGATATGCAGATTTCCTCACGATGTTTTCCTTCACCGCCGAGCACGTGGTAAATCAGCACTTAAAATTGGAATTAACAATTTCATTCCGGATCGATCCCGGGTTACTCGCGTTCTGTTATATTCCAGCGAGCGTTAACCATCGGAGCTACTACGGCTCTATTGTATGATACCATCGTCCGAAATATGATTCACAGGTACCATTGTATGATACCATCGTTCGAAATTTGATTCACGGTCCATGTGGTGCACGAAATTCAATATCGCCATGTATGAAAGAAGGAAAATGTACAAAGAAATTCCCTAAACGGCTATTAAAAGAAACAGTGCACAATGACAATGGCTACCCTTTATACAGACGCAGAGCTCCCGAAGATGGTGGCAGGAAAGTTACATTCACATCTCGCTCTGGAGCGTTCGAAACCTTAGATATTAGCTGGATTGTCCCGTATTCGCTCATTCTATGTAAAATGTTTAATGCCCACATTAATGTAGAAGCATGTAGCTCTGTCCGCAGAATCAAGTATGTCTGTAAGTACATAAATAAAGGAAGCGACCAAGAAATATTTAATCTCAGGATGAAAGTGAGGCAAATCCCGTTAATGAAGTGCAGACTTTGCAAGCAGGGCGTTATGTCAGCAGTAACGAGGCAACGTGGCGTTTCCTTGGCTTCCTTTTACACGAAAGGCACCCAACAGTTACTCATCTTGCTGTGCACTTAGAAAATGGAGAGCGTGTATATTTCACCGAAAGAAATTTCCAAGAAAGAATTGCATCACCGCCAAAAACTACACTAACAGCCTTCTTTCAACTTTGTCAAACCGACCCCTCTGCAAAAACGTTGTTATATTCTGAAGTTCCCCGCTATTATACTTGGAACACATCTAGGAAGGAGTGGAAATGCCGTATTCAAGGCGCGCCGGTTGCAAATGGGCCCTGTGTAAAGTCATCAGATGCCGTCATGAGTGTGTATACCGTCCATGTAACTAATTTTGAATGTTTATGTTTACGATTGCTGCTGCACCATGTTCGGGGTCCTACAGGATATAAAGACCTTAAAACTGTCAACGGTCAGGAATGCGCAACTTATAGAGAAGCATGTGAAGCTCTGCATCTTTTAGAAAACGATAATCACTGGGATGAAACCATGGAGGAAGATGTGCAGTGCCAGTC